TGTTACCTAACCACTTCTTAGCACCACTCTTAGATTTGTCAGTTACAGAGGGTACTAGAAATGCTAAACTGGGTCACCTATCAGCTATGACAACTCTTGTTAAAAATGTTTGGAAGAACCAAAGCCGATTTCCAACCTAACCTGACATATTTTGCTTGTCTTGGGGATTGGTATACACTGGATCGGATTCCTCCTTCAGATCTGAAAGGTAAAAGTGTTGGTGATTTTGGTTTTCTTCTCTCCTTCCTTTGGCATCCAATAAAAATAAAATAAAAGATTGAGATGATTTCCTGAGAGGGAGAGGTACATTACCCATGACCCCACTATTCTAATCTAAAGGAATGATCACACATTGTGGAAGCGAGGGAGAGGTACATTACCCATGACTCCACTATTCGCCTACACTTTGCCAGAGAAAGTTACAAAAATAGAAAGATCAATAAGATGAGCATTTGTTGTTCATTGGGATTGACATAAAAAAAGAGAGAAAATTTGGGATTCAGAGAAGGAAGATATAGGGAGAAAAGAAACCATAATAATATTGCATGTTTACTCAGATATCTGTTGGGGTGAGAGTCCACGTGTCATTTGATCGATATTCCCAAGGTAAAGCTTGCACTTTTAATATATGCATAAATGAAACCGGCAGAGGGGATATACAAATAGGATCATTAAGTTGTTGGTTAGTTGAATTTGGTTGCTAAGCTAGGATATGGTGTAATGTACTTCTGAGGTTGATAGATATCTGAAGTGGCTTGCAATAAGTAAAGAGGTGATGGTTCCAAGTTTGGAACTGTAGGAGCTTCCGCCTTTCAAACTTTTCTAGACCAATGTTCTATTATTTGCTTGAGTACAAGCAAAAGGATAAGTCTGGGGGAGTTGATATGTCATGGATTTTACCCACTTTCAACCATGATTTATATATGTTTTTGGAAACAAAAGGATACTTCTAGTGTCTTTTTAGAGCTTTTACAAGTTCATGTACTCATTGGTGTAAAGTAGCCATTATGGAGCTAAAATGGAGACTTTATGAAGATATGAGCAAAACGATGTTAAAGATATCGACCGACGTACGTTGAGAACAATCGACCGATAAAAGATTACCCATATCGATCGATTGAAGACATTCACCATCGATCGATACAGAAGTCCTCCGAGTGATTAAATAAAGATTAAAAGCCCTAATTGCTTCACAAGAGTTTTAATAACTACACTTTAAGTCCATGGCCGCCTGTTAGGCTATATGAAGAGGGTTTTGTACTAGTTTAGACAGACTTCTATAGAGAGATATTTTAAGACATAATTTGGAGAGAAGCATCTAGTTATACTTTGAGAAGAGCTCAGGAGTAGAGAGAGAGATCTGAACTACAAATCCAGAGAAGATCTTGAACTCTCTTGCTTTACTTATTTCTTTATTGTTTCTCTTGCTATTACTATCTTTAAAGCATTATTCAAATTATTATGACTTTGTCTTTCATAAATATGTTTGAGTAGTCTCTCTTGTTAGATTTAGGTTTCTTATTAAGGTTGACTCATGTATTGAATGAACCATTACTAAGGTGTTTAAAATATAGTTCTTCATCTAGTCATCATAAATGATAAGGATTGATCACCCTTACCTTTGATTTTAGGATCAATATGGACAAGTGAGAACTTGGCAATTACCTGAAATCTAAGTAAATTTAGTGAAGACTAGATAACCGTTCCAAACTTGTTATTATAACTCGCTGGAAGCAATATCGTTTGAAAAGATAATCATCTTGTCGACCGATATAGCAAAGAGTCATCGATCGATAATTCTATTGAACATCGATCGATACTTTCTTAAGGTCATCGAACGATAGTTGTTGACCCGAGGTCCAGTAGAAGTTAAAATTCTTTAGATTAAAAACCTTAAAAGTTTGAATCCAGAACTATGAATAATAAAAACCCTTTATAACTTACATGTTTGTCATACCTGAGAAAATACATAAGTCTAACTATTTTCTTTCCTCTTAACAAATCAATCAATCAATCGAGCAATTACTTGCTCATCTTCTAAATTATTGTTTTAAACTTGATGTCTAGTTTTATTTCGAAAACTAAATAATCTGTTGTGTAATCCTAGAGTCTCTGTGGATTCGATCCCTAAGTACTACAATTAATCCTCTTTTGATGAGAGTAATTCACTCCTTAGGGTAATTTGAGTGATATCAAATACTTTTATAATGGTAAATTGTAAGCTTTAAAAACATAATTATATTTTTTAAAATTCTATTGTTAAAATTATAAAAATAGTTAATTATAGAAAATAGTGTATTGGTAATTTAAACTTGAAATATTATTTTAATAAATGTTAAAATGTTAAAATATGAAACATTTGAAACAGAGGGAGAGAGTATGTTGTATACAGACGGAGAAAACGTATTAAAATGTGTTAATTGTTCCAAACATCCAAATTTTCGAATCTAGTCAACAGTTTCCTAGACCAATTTGATCGGGTTGACATTTCAAACTTTTTTGCATCAATACTGCACAGAAATTCGAACTGATAATATTGCATAAAATGGCCCCTAGTTGTCGATGATATACTTCCTCCGTTTTAAAATATTACATATTTTACAATTTTCACGTTTATTAATAAAATATATTAAAATGTTGTTACTAATACATATTTTGCAATAAGATTTTAAAGAAATGCAATTATTTTTTGTTAAATTCATAATTTTTATTTATTAGTTAAAAAAGGTACACTGAAAGCTAAATACTAATTTTTTTTAAAAAATATTGTTTTTCTCTAAAATACGTAACTTTTTAAAATGGAGAGAGTAACATATAAATATATAAATATTATCATTTAACCTCATTGTTTTTGATGAATATATCCAATTGCTTTTTTTTTTTCTTGACTGAAATTTAAATATATCTAATTGTTTTACCAATCATATTGTAACAACCAATTAGATGCCTTCCATTACAAAGAATTCTAAAGAATAATAGATTAGAAAGAGTGTGACCACATACATGTGACTCAACGACCCCATTTACAAAAGTCGTAGAGAAGAGAGACTTCTCGACCTCACGCGAGCGTAAAGAGAAATTATGTAATTTAATAATAAAATATGGTAATAATAGGCATAAAGGGCAGTTTTATAAATCCTGAGGTTCCCGAGTCCCCACCCTCACCTTCTTTTATCACCCATGAGCCATGACTATGCATTTCCTTTATATATTGACTGTACATGCTATTGCTTCTACCATCATTTCACTACAGTTTCTTGCACATTTTTCTGAAGCTAACTGTTATACTTACAACTTTTCATTTAAACTACACTTTTTCCTAATTAATAAGTCTAGTCAACATAATAAATTTGGATGTGATTACATCTTTGATGCAAAATTGTTTTGTTTCTCATTATATTCAACTTTTTTAGAAAATTATATGATTTTTATACTTATGTGTAAAATACTTTAAGCGTCAATTTAGTTTAGTAAACCACTCCAACTATATTTTGTTAACAAAATCAGATCAACCTTGCTTCGAACTAGGGTTATTTTCAACTTTTATTGTATGAAATTGTTTTACGTTATCTTCTATTTCGAGAAAAAATCTGCAAGATGCTAAACTAGACTTCCAAGTTCCAACGAATGTCATGTGTGAAAGACAGTAGGAGTATTCAAAAACTTTCATTTTATTTTTTTTCTCAAAAAAAATAGCAGGGAGGCATCTCGGATCGGAGAACAGACAAACAATTATTTATATTTTCCTGCAATTTAAAATTAAACATAATTATTGGTAAATCATGACCCCACGTCAACTGGAGTTGCACGGAAAGTCAATAACGTACTTCTGCGAATCGCTTCCTCCCATCCAAAGCTTGTCATATTATTCTTATTTTTTAATTTATGATCCCAAAGATTAAATTGATTAAATAAATAAATAATATTTTTTCTATTTTTAATAACAATTTTAAATGTATATAAATGCCATTTTCAGTCCTTTTCATATTTTTCTTCAAAACAAAAAAAAAATTAAAATAAGAGAAGAAATTTTGTTATACATTTTTGGTGTAAAATTTTTTGATATATAAAAAAATAGCATTTAAAATTGAAGATTAATCTTAATTTATTTTATAAGAATACGTTGATGATGTTTCTTTCTCTATTTTAAATTTCCTATAATTTTTAACAAAAGTTATAGAAATTGATTGAAGATGATCTAAATTTTTTTTTGACCAGACTTAGAATGTGTTTCCTTTTTAAATATTATAAAATTTTCTACACTCCTTTAGTATCTATGTGTTCATAACATATAAATGAAGAAAATGACTAGGTTGAACTTTTCTTTATATGCGTGATTGTCTAATTTGTCTGCCACCTATTTCGATATATTGATTTCTTTATTTTCGTAACATGATTTTCATATTGATCAAACCATTAAACTCGTAGTTTCTAGGAAGTTGTTTTTCCTTGTTTATATCAAAGCGTACAGATTTATAGGTGACTTCACTAAACAACATTTACGTATCAAACTATTCTGGCGGCATTTATTGACCTTTGCAGTTGTTATATACAGTATGTATAATAATCATCCTATTAAATGTTCAATAAGTGTCATTATGTAGTACACTTTGTTGACGCTATCTTCTTATCTATTGAAGGTACTGCCAAACTATAGGTTTCTGTATTCGGCGCCACATGTCGTGTATAATATACACACAAAGGAAATGTCATTATTAGAGGCAATGCTAATTAAGCTACGTAAAGAAAAAAAAAAGTTATGTAACTAATGTAGTTTTAATATATTTTAAGTTAATATTCCTTTCATATCAAGTGTTATAATAGAAAAAATTTCGTTGTAAAATAAATACTTTTTCAATTTTCAATACATAAATTTGTTATTTTATTTTGAAATTTACATTTTTTAATGATTAGATGTAAGGATAATTATGTTTTTATATAGAAAATATATAAAATTAATTATAAAAAGCTAAAATAACATTTATAATAAAACAAATGGAGTATTATTCAAAACTAAAATATTTTGTATATTTACGGAAGTATTGTGTGAAACAGAACAAATGTGAATCAATGAAATAAACTCACTGTTCCTATAAACCAGTTGAAAAGAAATTGAAAATGTAAATAATAAAACAAAAAAAAAATTGTATGTAGTATATAGTATATGTTTCTTCTATTGGTTTTTGTTGTTTCCTTCGCCGTCATGGTTGTTCGAGCCACTGATCATAGACGAAATAACGGCTGCAAGAGCTGCCGTAAAATTTGGGTCAGCAGTTAATGCTGTTATTGTATCAGCCACCGCATGTGACTGTGCTGCCGACGTAGAGCCACCAGAAAACTGCAACCCCGAGAATTTGGATTGGTTATACAATGCCTGACCTATTACATGAGGTAACATATTCGGAGGTAAATTCGTCATTTGTTGTTGTGACCGCTGCATCAATGTGTTGTGGTTATTGGTAGCGGCGGCTGTGGAAGGAGAGGAACCATTAGGAAGGGGAGGTGTGTGAGTGAGGTCTAATGTGACTGTAGGGAACGGCGCCGAGGCTGAAATTGTAGCCATGCTTGTGGAGCAAGGAAGAACAGCCCTGGCTAGTAAATTGGTAGGGTTCATCATCCCGTCGTGACTAGACATTGACCCGGACAGCAACATGTTAGCCGCAGCCGTGGTTGTGGAAGCCATCGCCACTGCAGCTGGTGGCAAGGGATGGTTGTGGTTTCCCTCGTAGGTTGTTATTAGAATCGATCTGTCTTCCGCACAACGTTGGACCTATAAATATATAATTAGGGAGGAAACTTTTTAGCCAATCACTTAGAATCTCTATTTTTAATTTAAGAACTCATGAATCTTTAGTCTAATGGTTAAATCTTTTGCAAGGTTCTAAAACTGACTAGGTTCTTATGTTCTTTCTCTAATTCACACATATGCACAATACCGGAAGTGAGCCCACCCAAGTTATAATACATAAACGGCAACATACAACCTAACAAGTTACATGTTTTAGTCTCCAAAATATATTCAGTATATCGTAGCTAGTTTTATGTTTATATAAATGCCATTTAATTGTTGAAAACAAAACTTAGAAGAGCCTGTGCAATATATACGTACTTGTTTGCGAACGGGACAACCCGTGGCCATTGTACAACGGTAATAAGCCCGCGGACAAGGATTGCCTTTTGCCATTTTCTGGCCGTACTTTCTCCATTGACATCCATCGCTTATCTACACAAAACATTACAAACTTAATTAAACTCTTTAGCATATACTTCACTTTGTGATGTAAGTCCAATTAAATTACCGTTGTAAGTACTTACCATAGTAGCTTCTGATCGGGCTCGGACCGAGACGCGGGCTTTCCTCATTGTAGCTTCTGTGGATTGATCAAACCTCGTTGGACTACTGTTATTCACTTTTTGAACTTTGTTAGACTCAGTTTCGGGGCTTTCTTCACGTCCAAGCCTCTTTCCGTCCCTAACCTCGTTATTACGCCTATCTTCCGATGATGAATTTGACACATCCTCTGCCTCGCCTGCTGCTCTCGAAGGGCCTAGATCAATAAATTGCCTCGGTACTATCGTCTCCTCAGGCTTTCCAGCAGCCTCTATTGCCTAAGATTATAAAGGGTTCGTCAATGTTAATTGCCTAATCATTTAGGGTACGTAAACTCCATTCACTTGTAGTTATCAATCAATTATTTAATTACCTGATTATGTTGTTGGTGCTGCTGTTGCATTAGTGAAACAAGATGCATTTGGAGTGAAGTGTAATTGTTGCTCACTTGTGCAAGCAATTCTTTTAGCTTTTGATTCTCCATGGTTATTTTCTTCAGCTCATCTTGTAACTTGACCAACTGTGATTAAATAATTACAATATAAAATTAAACCGGGTTGATTCATTTGTAAAACAATCAATATATAATTACGAGGGTACTACAAAATTAAATTAAATTAAACTCACCTCATTTTTTGCACGCTTATCTTCCATTTGTGAAGATTCTCCATCGTCCATCATCACTGACTGATCGCTCCCGGCATTAACCGTGGTTCGAAGATTCAAACCGGTCTATTCAAGAATGAATTTACAAACTTAATAATAACGAAGACTTCATACAGTAATATTAGAAAAAGACATTTGACTTTTCAATTTTGTACACGGATTAAGTAGTAGACATTAATACGAACCATTATGTTACACGTTCGGTTTAAAATTCATATTTCAAGCCCGGTTTAAAATTTACACGATTAAATCAAATATTTGCCAACTTACATTTACGTCCATTCGATCATCTTGTTCCTCCTTCTTAACCCGAAATCCATCCTCGTCAACGTCACGACAAACCCTAGACTTCTTGTCGGAGAAAAAATCCACTTCACCGGGAACTTCACGGTCGTTTTCTAAAGCGAGTCCACTAGAAGAATCATCATCTTCACGGTCACGAATACCGGAGAGACTCACCGGGAACCTTAAATCACTTCTGTCGGTGGAGGTTTTTATCTTTTGATCATTGTCGTCGCCGTTTCTAGACATGGTCAATGGGTTCAAGAAGTGTCGGTGATTATTATTATTATTCTTGAAACGGTTAGGGTTTATGAGATCAAGAGAAGATGAATCAAGAGTGAGACCAGACCAACCTCTGTCCATAAATAGAAGAAAGAAGATCACAAGATGAACGAAAGGAGTAAGATCGTTAAAAATATAGAGAGAGAAAGATGGAGATATTTTTTTTTTTGGTTTGGTTTAGAGAGAGAGGTAAAGAGATTGTGAAGTCTTTAGCCAGAACAAAAGACTCTCCTATAAAAAGGGTTTGAGATGTGGACCGGCTCTTTTTTTCTTTCGTCACATTTTGAAATAATGAATTTATAAAGTTTGATTTATTTTATTTCGGTGACTTTTTGGGAAAAAAAATGGGAGATTTACGTCAGATCCTGCGTCATGATGGATCCTAAAACTGACCCGAGAATCACCCGGATTCTAAACCACGTTTTAATTTCCATGGAAATTTGGAAGAAAAAAATTGTAGAAGTGGTCTAGGTAGTTTTTAGGTTTACATGTATAGAGTTACATGTTGTTCGATATGTATTGAATTATTAATTTTGTCTAATTCTCATATGCATTTCCTTGATTTTTAAAATGGAGTATAATTTTTTTCAAGGTAAATTTTATGAAATTGTTGTTGATCATAAAACAACGCAGGATTATTTGGAATGATGTTACTCCAAAACTCATTTAACTCCTAATTTTTATGCGCCATAAATATATGCGTAAGATCCAGGTCGAGTGGTATGACCCGATATAATCAATTTATTAAATATGATTTGTAATGTCAAAATCACGAGAAAATGGTTATGTGGCGGCGTGGCACAATGGTCTTCATATTTTAATTCATCAAGAAAGTACATTGACTAGTTCCGTTGATCAAGAAAGTACAAGAACGAAAAGTTTGATCCACCGTCCCGTTTACTACGGCGCGTTCCATGTGATTATCTCTTTCTTTCCCTCATTTATTAATTATTACTTACAAATATAAAACAATTGGGAGATAAAATCAGAAAAAGAGAGATAGAGTCAACGCCTTTGACGGCCATGCTTGTTATGATCTGACTGGAGACCGGGTTCGCCGGTCCATAGGTCTTACTTCCGGGGGCGGCTGGGTCCGACCCATGTTATATATAGAAGAAACACCTATTAGTATAATTTTTGTATTACGTCCCTAATTTCTTATTTTTAAATTTATAACTCGTTCTCTAAAGTCAAATTGTGATGCTTTTCGTTAACATCGGCTTATTTTTTCAATCGTGGTTAACACATGTGATTTGAAAAGGTTTGTACGCTGAAAATTATTATAGAATCCTTTATTTGGGTGTAAATTATATTGAATCCTTCTAACTAAATATGAAAACAAATTTATAAGAACATGATGACCATACGGAAGAGTCTAGTGGCAAGAACTTACTCAATTGAGAGGAAGGTGTGGCACATGTCCTCCCTCCATTTAATTTTATCTAACCGGAAACAATTTGAGATTACAAAATCAAAATAATTTTGATTAATCTTAGTTTTTGTATGAATAAATTAAATTATAATCTTCAAATACTGCAAGATCATATATTAAAATTATTGAAACAATAAAGAAGAAACAACAATAATGAAATTACTTACAATAAAGTTTATTCAAAAATTTTAATTTAGTTGTCGGAAATTTTAACTTAGTTACAATTCTATATAAAGTAAATTTACACAGTCTCTCTCCAAAACGACTGCATAAATTTCTAAAATTTTCTCACTTCTCTCTAGAACTATTCCTTCTCTCTAAAATAGACTCTTCATTCTCTTTAAAACTCTTTCATTTTTTTCTAAATTCTTTGAATGCGTAGAAAGTATTTATTTAAATTGTTAATTCGTTTCTCATATTTTTCTTGCAGTATTATCTCATTTTTGTAGATGCTACCATTCATATTTAGAGTGTATTTTATTTTTTTGCTAATTTTGAAATAATAAATTAATTAAATTATATTAAATTGTGTTTCCAAAAAAAAATGTAAATTATAGTGACAATTTCGTAAATATTTCAGAAAGGTAAAGATGATATAGAAAATTTATGGATGAATAATAATGACAAAAAAATGTTGGCTTTAGGTTTAACTTAGAATTTTAGGTTAATTTTAAAAGTGCTCTTTATTTATATGCTTTTAATTTATATATAAGTTATAACTTGTATATATATATTTTTGTCTAGTAATAGACGAAATTAGGAAAGTTAAATAATTCGAGTTCAAAACAATCTTCGTATACTATATCCATTTCGTCATGTGAATGTATCAATATTAATATAATTACTATAGTTCCTATAATATCTGGCTTAAATATTTTGATTTAACCTTTAAACATAAAGGTAATAACATATAGTGTTGCATAAGGTAAAGAGTTTTCTTTTTGCCATCTATTTTTTATTTATTATTAAGAGACCGAAGTCCCTAACTAATACCTAATATCTAAAATCTGAGGGTATAAACAACAAAAATCCATATAAGACAGAAAAAAATGGATCTACAAACCAGTAACCATAACCCAACAAAACCCGAGTACCACGCGTCGAGTTTTGTAAACGTGTAAGACCCATGGTCATTCCTCAGCCATGGAGAGAAGACACGAGTCGCCAAACCCATTTTTCTTTTCCACCGAAAATTACGCCAGAGACTAAACGAGGCCGGAGAACACCAGTGACTCTTCCACAGAGAGCATCCATCGAACAAATCGAGATCTCATCTAGGTCACCAAACCACCCACACAAAAATTAATCTCAAAATTACAACCTCCGTCTTCATTAACATCGTCATCAGAGAGCTTCATTGACTATCGGGATCTCATCCAAGCGAATCAAACCATCATACTGAAGACAAGAGTTATCCCTAATCACAGCCACGATCCAAATCATAACCAAAAGCGAAGCCGGCAACGCAGAGCTTTTAAAGTCTCCACTCCTAGAATCATAGCCGGAGACGGCGGAGCTTTATAAGCCTCTTCATCCCGGAGTCATAACAATCGCCCAACTAAAAGTCAAAATAACATGGAAAAGGCAACGACCTCTCTCTCTCTCTCTTAAAAGACATGCATGGATAAGAAATAGAGAAACCATAAACCACGAAACCAGACCGATGGTGACTAGTGTGGAGCCTACTCTGTCGGCCGGAAAACACTAATCACAATAGTAACCTCTAGAGAGAAGACAGAAGAAAATAGAGAGAGAGCTAAAAAATTTTGCATAAGGTAAAGAATATCTTAGTATAAGTTATGAAAGTTCTTATATATTTTATTACAAAGTATTTTTAAAATTTCTAGATTTACTCCAGTCACAAAATATTCCCTTAACAGATTTGATTATATTAAATATCAAATTTGTGTTATACTAATTATCAACTGAATCTCTAAAATATTATATTTATTCAAAACTAATTATTCCATAATATAATTATAAAATCTTTCCACAATGATTATTATTTGATAAGGATTTTTACACCTTAGAGTAAATCAATGTAGTAAGATAAGTAGAATGTCAATCCAATCCTGAGAGCTATTAAACAAAGAGAATGCAAGACATTGCTAAATCTAAATGCAATCAATGAGGGTTTGTTTTATAAGGTAATAAGTAACTAGCAATGTAAGTAAACAAGAGTAACTTAAACTTTTTTTCAAGGAGATAAGAGAACTTATGGGTAAAGGTATTGACTTTGGGTGATCAAGTTACTATCTAGGGTGAGGTTTCAAGCAATCATTCATATCCTATAGGTCTAGACACAATCCTAAGCTAGTCCTTGGTCAAGGTAAAAGCCCATTTGCTATCAATCTCTAAACACAAATGGTCATTGGTCTAAATCAATCAAGCAATCATTGAGAATAAGTCTACTAACCATCTAAGCCTTCCTAACATGAAGTGTCCTTGGTTAAGTAAGCAAAAAGCATTATTACTTTGGTTCAGGCATTTCATCATACACCTTGTGGGCAGTAAATGCCTAATGATCTAGTTTAGAAGGATTAGGTCTAATCTAGCATTGGGAATACGTAATAAGCATAGGAAAAGAGGGATCTAACACTAATCACCCTAGATCATCACTTAATCACCATAATCACCTAACCCATAAGCTCAAAGAGAGTCTACTCACTAATCTTCATGTTTAATCTTAAACCCATAATGGATGGAAAACTAATCATGTTAGAAGAAGAGATAAACTCAAATTACTCAAGAAAAAAAGATTATATTAATCAAGGATTCAACTTTCCAATGTGTTTTTGAGAGAAAAGAAAAATAAGTTCTAAACTGAGGTCTCCAATGTATTTATAGAAGCCTAAAAACGAGCTTAAAAGTTGGGTCTTTTCGTCTGTAGCGACATGCTCGTAGCGACATGCAGTGGTTGCTACAGACTCTCCGCACTCTTCCTAACGACATGCTCTGGTCGCTACAGTTCTGGTCGCTACAAGGTTGATATGCCTCCAGTAGATAGATCATAACTTCTTCAATACAGCTCCAAATGACTTGAAACCACTTCCATTAGAAAGATAACTCAATTTCCCATGTCTTTCCAAAATATGAGCTTCAAAAGATATCTCTAAAGTCTCCATCCATGTTCATCTTTAACCCTCTTTTGGATCACAATGCTCCCAAACACCTCCATTCACTCCATGGCACACTCCAATACCTAATAAGGACATATGAATGCAATATGGACCTAAAGATGTCTAAACCTTAATCTATATGATGATTTATGTACAAAATGAAATTATAAAACTATGCAAATATGCCTCATATCAACTCCCCCAAACTACTCATTTACTTGTCCTCAAGTAATTAATTAAGAACAAAGGAAGAGAGAAGGGAAATTGTAACTCAAAACCAAAGGATACACTTCTTATATTCAACACCACATCCTAGATAAACATAACCTATAGCATAAGCAATCTCAATTATTACACTCTATCTTCACAAGGCCTATCAAGACTCTTTCTTTTAGACAAGTTGTGGATCACCAATCAACAAATCTCTTCAACCAACCCTCACATTCAATTAAGCATAAGCTAATAAGGTGAGTTATTGCAAATGGAAACTTGATCTCAATCATTTGGCTTGGTAAGTGAAATGGTTAAATGAGAATATAAGTGGGGTTTCAATACATTTCTTTTTAGTGGCTTGCATTCAAGAATATGAGCTTGATCATTATGCAAAATCTATCTAAGAAAATGAGCAATTTATGCATACATTGCTTGC